CAATCTTCTTTCTGAGGAGTGGCTGATGGGTTTGAACTGCCAGCCTTCTGGTAAGGAGTCAAATGCCTTAGGCACTACACCACCAGAGATTCTAAGATTCTGAGTATTACGTAATTATTCTCCATTTTGTGATATGATGTAATTATCCAAAGAATCCTAACCTCCATGACATTAATGAAGCAGGATAGCAGCACTCATGTTAATGAAGCAGAGCACAAACAACGGGATTAGAGGCAATCTCTTTGGAGACACAAAAGAAGAGCTGGAGCACAGCACGCCCTGTGCACCCAGGGACCCTGCGCTGGGAACCTAGGAGCTCTGGTAGCGTAGTGCCTGAGGCACTTTATGCTAACCAGAAGGCTGGTGGTTCAAACCCATCAGCCGCTCCTCGGAAGGAAGGTTGGGCAATCTACTTACGGAGTGATACTGCCTCAGAAACCCAAGGAGGGGTCACTATGAGTCGAGTCTGACTGGATGGCACATAACAACAATAGACCCAGGGGAAGACTGATGACAAGGACTTTCCCCTGGAGCTGGCACCCTGAATTTGAACTTCCAGCTTCCTAAATTGTGAGTGCATAGATTTCTGTTTATTAAAGCCATCCACTTGTGCTATTTTTGTTATGGCAGCACTAGATAACCAACACAGCTACACTGACTGAGCACCCACATGTGGCAAGGACCATGCTAAGTACTTTACACTGTTAATCTTAACTTCTTGAGGCATTCCCAACGTCATTTTGTTGATAAGGACTTTAGAGCTCAGAGAGGTAAAGACACATCCCCAAAGCTTTAAGGTTTGTGGATCTCCAGGGCAGGACTAGGTAAATAAATGGGGAGGTGAACTTTGCAGCCACAGATGGTATCTTAGTTCTCTGTTGTTGTTGTTGTTATGTGACCTCAAGTCGGACCCGACTCATAGCGACCCCTCCTTGGGTTTCCGAGGCAATATCACTACGGAAGTAGATTGCCCCATCTTCCTTCTGAGGAGTGGCTGGTGGGTTTGAACCGCCAGGCTTCTAGTTAGCAGTCAAGTGCCTCAGGCACTACGCTACCAGAGGTCCTCTTAGTTACTCTCTAGTGCTACTGTAACAGAAATACCACAAGTGGATGGCTTTAACAAACAGACATTCATTTTCTCACAGTTTAGGAAGCTAGATGTCTGAATTCAGGGCATGGGCTCTAGCGCTCTCTCTCTGTTGGCTCTAGAGAAAGGTCCTTGCTTCTGTTTGTTTTCTGGTTCCTTGGAGATCTCCTTGTGGCTTGGCTTCAATCTTCTCCCATCTCTGCTTCTTTAACTTGATTGTTAATTTGATTTTTGTATCTCAAAAGACACATTCTAATCCTGTCTCATTAACATACCAAAGAAAATCCATTCCCAAATGGGATTACAACCATAGGCATAGAGGGTAGGATTTACAACACATAGTCTTGGGGGACACAATTCAATCCATAATAGACAGTCCTACGTATGTCAGGGAATGATCATTGGGCTTGAGTGACAATTTGGTAATTCAGTCAGGGAAATTTATAGAGAAGTTGTTACTTAAATTCAGAGGATACTTCACAAAAGGATATGCTAAAGTCCCTATTATGATTATTTATAACATATAACAGGCCCACACTGGTATTTTCTAATGAAGTTTCAAAAGAACAAAACAAAAAAATTACTCCACTCTCTCCTGGTTGAATCAAGTGTGCCCAGCTGCTGAATGCCGTTGGCTGGAGATCAGAAAGAGACCTAAGACAAAAAAAAGTAGAAATGCTGCCAGGAAACAACCCCAAGCGGTTGCCGCACCAGGGAGTTTTCCTTTGAAGTCTCTCCCTACAGCTTTGCTTAGGTAAGATGTTTTTCTGCCCAAGACAATGAATCAATCCTCAGAGAGCTGCTTTATGAAAAGAGAAACAACTATGACAGACCTTTCTATCTGTTAGTTTCTTTTAAACTCTGCTTCTTACCTGGATCCACATCAGAAGAGCAAGGAAAAGAAAAGGCTTCCGGAGAACTAAAAGCCTCACTGTTGACTTCCTGGCTGGGCTTCTGCAGCACGTAGTCTCTTATGTCATAAGCTGTTGGCAGATCCAAAGCGCTGCTCTCCTCTGACTCGCTGCTCAGAGTGGCTTCCTGGGCTGCCATAGTCCTACCACAGCAAAAAAGAAAACAATTCAGAACAGAAAATTGTAGAGCAGATGCCTTCAGGAAGCCAGGACTTGAAGTGCTGAAATCCCAGCTCCTTAAATATCAAATGGTAGTCAGCCCAGAATAATATATTTTCCCCATTATCAGTGGTCTTCTTGTTTTTACTTTACCAAGCTCTGGTGACACTGTGGTTAAGGCATCAGGCTGCTAACCAAAAGGTCGGTGCTTCAAGCCCACCAGCTGCTCTGGGGAGAGAAATCCTGGAGTATTGGTTAAAGATTTACAGCCTTGGAAACTCTATGGGGGTCACTATGATTTGGAATTGACTTGATGGCAGTCTTGACTTTAGATCCAGTATTTGTTTAACATGTTTTCATCATGAAAAACAAATACTCTCACCACTGAAAGAAACCATGAATGATTCCAGCTGGAAAATAAGCTGCTTGTTTGATGACAAGGGAAAAGTTCAATCACAGACCAATGAAATTCTGTGCCACACTATAATCAAGAGCTACGAGAATATTTAATGAGAAGGAAAAACGTTCATGACATATTAAATATAAAAATGTTTTAAAACAATAGGTAGGTAAATAACTCAACAACAAAAAGACAAACAACTCAATTAAAAAATGGGCAAAGGACATGAACAGACACTTCACCAAAGAGGACATTCAAGCAGCCAACAAACATGAAAAGATGCTCACTACCATTAGCCACTGTTGCTATTATGTGCCGTCAAGTCGGACCCGACTCATAGCGACCCCTCCTTGGGTTTCCGAGGCAATATCACTACGGAAGTAGATTGCCCAAGTTTCCTTCCATT